CGGGGGGGGGGGCGCCCTCATCTGTAACCCCTTCCTGGCAAGATATGCTTGTTCCAGTGCATTCCTCCTCAGAAGAGCAGCCCTAAGAGATGGTGGGCAGGGTGGGGAGTGGGTGCATCCCGCTTCCAGAGTCTGACGCCATCCCCAGCACAGGTCACATGCCCCTACTGGCTCTGATCCTCACGCCTCAGGAAAACAAGCTCCCAGGGGTCTCCTGGATGGGGAGAAATCGCCCTCCTCCTCAGACTCAAGATCCCCACTCCACGGATCAACCAGGAAAGAGGAGTCCCTAGCCCCTTGGGGCACGAAGCTCACTTCAGAATAAGCTCAGCTCCAATTCAGGGCCCTCCCTTAAGGCTCTCACCTGAAGACATATTTTTCAAGCCCTGGTGGAGTAGTGGATTACACACTAAGCTGCTAACCACAAGGTTAGTAGTTTGAAACCACCAGCCACTGAGAGAGAAAGATGAGGCTTTCTACTCCCATCAAGAGTTTGTCTCTGAAACCCTCAGGGGCAGTTCTACCTTGTCCTATAGGGTCGCTATAAGTCGTAACTGACTCAGTGGCAGTGAACTTAGTTTGGGTTTTGTGGGCACCTGTAATCCCTTCTGGTGACACAGTGGTAACTTGTTGGGGTGTGACCCGCAGGTGGGCAGTTTAAAACCACCAGCAGCTCTGCAGAGAAAGACGAGGTATTCTGCTCCTGTACAGTTACAGTCTCAGGAACCCACAGGGGGTTGATACGAGTTGATGGCAGTAAGTCTGGTTTGTTTGTTTGTTTGTTTGCTTGTTTGTTTTGGGGGGTATCTCCTTTTTAAGGAGCCCTGGTGGCATAGTGGTTACTCATTGGGCTGCTACCTACAAAGTCAGCAGTTTGAAACCACCAGCTGCTCCACAGGAAAAAGATGGGACTTTCTACTCCTGTAGAGAGTTGCGGTCTCAGAAACTCACAGGGGCAGTTCTACCCTGTCCGATAGGGTTACCATGAGTCAGAATTAATTCATTGGCCGTGAGTTTTGAGAAAGTATTTTTAAATTCCTATAAAATGGATAGTCGGATTTCTCAGATTAGGAATAAATGGTTAAAATTGTTGTTCAGCAGCGCTGCCGGTCTCCCAGCCTGTAGACTTGAGAGAAAGGTTCACTGGGAGTCAGGCAGACCGGGCGGCTGTTGGCACAGTCTGGATGCTGCCTGCCTGCAGTAAAAGACAGTCATGCTTCTGCAAGTCACAAAAGCAGAGAAAGCAAAACCAAACAATACATGTGTGTCTTCTCGCACACTCACACAGATACACATGACAAAAGCGATGGTGAAACATACCTGCTCCTGAAGGGCACGTCTTAACGGCGGCAGCCCCATGGTAAACTTCACTCTCTGAAATGTCAAAGCTCTCAGCTCATCCAGACTTAAGTCATACCTGCAAGAAGCAGATATAAAGCAGGTGTTAAGACACTGAACATTTGGTGACTCTAAAGAGACCCTCGGGATGCTTTGACTAGGTAAGCTGCTAGAACGGATAACTTGGTTGTATCTCGTCTTTGAACAGAAGTGTCTATGTAACACAGACTCTGAGTTTAATACACTGGAGTTGAAAATGGAAGGCAAAGAGAAAGGATTTCCTAAGAAGACAAACCTAACACGCTTCTCCAGCATCCAGCACCTCCTCCCCTGCAGGTTATTAGAGCTGTCTGACTTGGCTCAAGAGCAGTGACAGCCACTGTAATGTCTTGAAATTTAGAAGTCTTTTATTTGGTTATAACCGGGATGCGAGAATCTGAAAGAATTTCTTTAGGTTGCAGTTCTGAGTGGAGATACTAGCCAGCTTATAGAGGCAAAAAACCATTCATGAGGAACTTTCCAATAGAGAGCAGATATGGCTCAAGCAGGAAGCAATATTAATGTTATCATTCTTTAGAGTAGTGAGTATCGCAGCAGGACTGATTATAACATCAAAAAGGAACAATATTAAAGAATAGCAAACTTAATCACGACATTCAGATGATAACATCAAAAGGAACAATATTCAAAAATCACGTGATTAATTAGAACGTCCTGAAGAGTACATTCTAAAATTAATCAGTAGCGGGACTTTCCGAGATGGGAGGCAGGTCATTCAGCAGTCAACAAATGGCGTCCCTTTGGTCAGTTTGCCTCACAGTGTCTATGTAAATGGGGGAGGGAGGGAGCTGTAGCTCAAGGTGGACATGGTGGCCCCTTCAAGAGATGCCCCCACAGAAAGTACAATTCACCAACAGCCTCCAACTTCCACACCTCCAGATGACCAGCAGAGGTCACCACAAGTGGCCTTTCCCTTGGTGATGTGTGAACAAGCATAGTGAGGTTCTAGAGGCAGGCTGCCATGGTCCAGGGACTCACCTCTGGCCTCTTGGCACAGTCTCCTAACTGGACTTAGGAAGTTAAACATACACTTAGCAGACAATCCAGGGAGCCCTGGTGGTATAGTGTGTTACTCATTGGGCCACTAACCACAAAGCTGGCAGTTTGAACTCCACAGAAGAAAAAGCAGGCTCTCTACTCCCATAAAGAGTTACAGTTTTGAAAATCCAGGGAATCCAGGGCGGGTGAGCCTTACAGGACCAGTGGTGTGAGTGGCGATACAGGGAGGGTAGAGGGAGAGTGGGTAGGAAAGAGGGAACCGATTACAAGGAACTGTATGTGACCTCCTCCCTGGGGGACGGACAACAGAAGAGTGAGTGAAGGGAGATGTCAGACAGGGCAAGATATGACAAAATAACAATTTATAAATTATCAAGGGCTCATGAGGGAGGGGGGAGCAGGCAGGGAGGGGAAAAATGAGGACCTAATGCTGGGGGTTTAAGTGGAGAGAAAATGTTTTGAGAATGATGAGGGCAATGAATGTACAAATGCGCTTTACACAATTGATGTATGTATGGATTTTGATAAGAGTTGTATGAGCCCCTAAAAAAATGATTTTAAAAAAAAGAGTTTTGGAAACCTAAAGGACAAAGCACTCAAAGGCAACACCAAAACAAAACAAACTCACTACCAACAAATTGATTCTGTCTCCTAGTGATGCTATAGGACAGAGTAGAAACTGCCCCTGTGGGTTTCCAAGACTGTAACTCTACAGGAGTGGAAAGCCTCATCTTTCTTCTGAGGAGCAGCTGGTGGTTTCGAACTGCTCACTTTGGGGTTATCAGGCCAATGCACAACTGACTACAGGCACCAAGCAGATAGAAACCCAGCAGAACAAATTACATCCTCTCTCAAGGCTTGAAATCAATGCTCTGTTCCTTGCAACCATCAGGGCACTGTCACCTGCCCTCTAGACCCTGGTGTTGGCCATGCTCTCTAGATTCAAGGTCCCTTGGTTTTGGGCTTCAGCCCACCTTCCAGGCCTCAGGATGGTCATTCTGTTCATTCACATTTTTTGTGGTTCCTTTCTTCTGGTCCAGCTAAGATCAATTCTTCCAGCAGGTTCCAATCTTCTTCCACGTGGGTACAGCAGCCTCAGTCCCTCCGTTTGGGCTGTGTGCCATCTCCTTGACACAACTCGCCAGCAACCCCACACTCCAGGGCTGAGTTGATGAAGCTCTGACTCTGAAACCAGAGGCCCTGGCCCTGTGCTTGGAATCCTAATTGGCTGTGACTCCACCTTCCGAGATACGGGAGGCCTTGGTTCCACCGTTGGAAAGTGAGATGGCCCTGATTCCATCAGATGGTGCTGCTGATCTCCGGCTTCTCCAGCGGGCTAGGAAGCCTGCTGCTCTGTCCAATGCACTCAATGTAGCTGCCAGGGCCAGGGCCCCTGCCCGCACGACCACCTCAGCCACCACAGGGATCTTGAGGTCCAAACATGGCATTCTGCTCATGCCTTTTCCTTCTGATGGTCGTGAAATTCCCGCTCCCGTATCTGAGAGGCCTCACTTGATACTCAGCAGAATTCCAAAACCGACCCATCCCTGAGACTTGAGTCCTCCACATTTTGTTTGCATGGCCCACACTGTTACTTCGTGTCATTTGGTTACAAGACTAGAGATGTGCTTGTTGTTGCTAGGTGCCATTGTCAGATATTTGAAATACCAGCAACATAGCTTCCAGCATCACAGCAACACACAAGCCACCACAGTACGTCAATCTGACTGACAGTGGCAGAAGACTACAGATAGAAGAGCCATATCAAATCATTTCACTTCGCTATGCCAAAGGCTGGCAAAATTAACCAATCCCCTTGTTAGGGTCCATACACCTTATTTGTCTCCACCGCCACAAAGGTGCCCTGCCCCTCATTCTTATTCTGAGGAAGCTACACAATCTCCTCCCATGTGCCCACACTACCCTTTGGTAGGAGTTACCAAGACTATAGCTGAAGAGCCATACTCAGGAATTCACAGCATGGCAACATTAAGTTCGAAACTTGGCAAAATGACCCAGTTCTGAGGAAGACCTCAGAACAGTAGTGACCTCTAAATGGGTAGACAGAGGCAGCGTTGGGGAGGGCGGGTTGCAATGGATGGGGTGGAGCATGAGTGAACTTTCTGGGGCGATGGTAACAATATTCGACATTTTGGTAGGGATTAAAGCTACATAGGGGTATGCATTTGTCAAAGTTCTATGGGTGTCAACTTCAGAATTTTTCTCTGCTTTCTGTGAACTGAGACAACAGAAGAAAAAGAACTGGACACATACATTGAACTCTCATTAATTCTCGCCGTGATGTGCAGGCTGCAGTCTTGAGTCAATGCAGTGATGTTTGCAATAAATGAACTGCAAGAAATGAGAGGACCAGTGACTAGAGGGATGGATGGATGGATGGAAGGATGGATGGATGGATGGATGGATGGATGATGGATGGAAGAACAGCTGCCGGATAAAGCAAGTGAATTGCTGTCCTGTGCCGGTGCAACAATTCCAACTCATCATTGCCTCAGAAGGCAGAATAGAACGGCTCCATCCGTATTCCTAGGCTGCAACCGTCATAGGAGCTGTTCCCCAGGTCTTTCCACCTGCTGAGCCATGGGAGGGTTTGAACCACCAACCTTTCATGTAGCAGCTGTGTGTGTTAATCACTGCACCACCGAGGGGGGGGGGTGAGGCAGGGGGGCAGTTTTTGTATCCCTAATACAAAACACACTTAATGGCAATTTGGAGTCGCTGTCATGCATTTGTATAACTTGAACATTTAAAGTTTTGCTTCCATGTTGGTTTGCCTTAATAGGATCGTGTCTGAAAAACATTCTGTCATCACGGCTTTCTTGTCAGAACTGTGTGCATTCTGTAACACCTTTGGTCATGGTAGTCCAGTTTTCCACATCATTTTGTAATACGCTATGAAGGTTGACCCTTTGAGTGTGTAGTGTGTGAATTAAGTGAGACTGAAGATGTAACAGCTTATCAACACTTGAAGATAATGGTACTTTATGACCTCTTTGAAAAATGTGCCTCCAAATTTAAAGCCGGAAGGGGAACAGAAAAGAATTGCAACGGAAGGGCAACGGAAAAGAATTCTTAGAAAAGAATTGCTATCCGCATGCCATTTCAGGATTTGGCACATGCACTAAGGATCATGTACACAACTGATGTATGTATGGATTGTGATAAAAGTTGTATGAGCCCCTAATAAAACAATTTTTAAAAAAATAATCATGTACACAAGAGCACGTTGTTTTAATAACCTGGCACACTCTTTGATACTCATCTTCCCAACACGATCACTGAAGACAAAAGGAGTACATAAGCAAATGTGGTGAAGTAATCAGATGGTGCCTGACTATCAAAAGATATAGTGTTGGGAGTCTTAAAGGCTTGTGGTAAAACAAGCAGCCATCTAGCAGGGAAGAAACTAAGCCCACATGGAAGAAGCACACCAGCCTGTGTGATCACGAGGTGTTGACAGGATCAGGTATCAAAAGATCCAAAACAAACAGTTATTTCGATGCAAACGAGCGGGGTTGGAGTGGAGCCCCAATGCCCATCTGTACACAATTGGACATCCCCCACAGAAGGGTTGCACGGAAGGGACAATTCAACCAGGGTATAGTATAGCACCGAAACACACATCATTCCTCTCGTTCCTGAATGCTTCCTCCCACCCATGACCATGATCTAGTTCTACCTTACAAATTCAGCTAGACTGGAGTATACACGTTGGCACAGAGAGGATCTCTCTACACAAGGAATCCAGGACAGATAAACCCCTCAGGAACAGTAGTGGGAGTGGTGATATTATAAAGGTAGGGGGAAGGTGGGGGACAGGGAGAAGGGGGAGGAAGAGGAAGAGGGAATCATCACAAGGTTGGATATATAGCCCTCCCTGCCGAGGGGGATCAATAACAGAAATGTGGGTGAAGGTAGTGGACAGTGTGAGATACGAAATGACAATAATAATATACAATTGCTCAAGGA